TAAGATAAGATAAGATAAGATAAGATAAGATAAGATAAGATAAGATAAGACTTTATTGATCCCACAGTGGTGAAATTTTGCGTTACCTCAGCTCAGGTATAATATTTAAGGATAAGGGGTTTTATGTATGAAACTTGGAACACAAACTGAAGATTTCTTACACTGTGGTTTGTAACTCCCCTTGAACAAAAGTGCAAACTGGGTCCAGTTATGTACTGGTGCATGCTCAATCATCCAGGTAACTAAATCCCAAAGGGTTGATTCTGTAAGATAAGATAAGATAAGATAAGATAAGATAAGATAAGATAAGATAAGATAAGATAAGATAAGATAAGATAAGATGTGTCTGGTGATTCAGGGCTTGTGTGTGTATTTTTTGTTTTTCTCGCGCTGACAATCCTCACAGGTCCTCTGGCCCATAATTCTTGATTGTATATTCTTCTGTATATAATGTTTGTTGTGTCCTCTCCCTTTTCTTCCATCTCCCTGCTTGTGGTTATGTGAGCTCATGGAAGTTTTGGGTTGCCGGAGGGATCCTCCTATGAGTCCCTAAGTGTTCCCGCACTGGAAGCTGCCACACCAGCCGTCACTAGCTGCAGCTGAGGGCCGCGTTTGGTGCGCACTTTTTTACCGTAGACTAATGTGCGTGAAAGGCTTCGCTTCAGTGGATTGCCTTTTCATTGTGTATATCTGTTTGTGTCTTGCCAGGAGCTGGAAGCAGAGCACGTTTTTCTCATGGGAGTAGAGTCACGGTGTGGGAAGAAGAGTTTTGGAGTTGCCTTTTCACCTTTTGGACATTCTGTACTGCATTTTGTCACTCACCTAAGTGACTTCTTCAAAATCAGTGACTCCTCAATTGGACTATTCTGAATAAAAAAGGGTTTTTCATGCTGCTAGATGAGTTTTCATAGTTTAAATCCAATTCATCATCTATCATGATGTCCCAACGTTTCTGCTGTTGATAGTATTACAGTAATAGCATCAGAGGATTGTCTTGTAGGTGAGACCAGCATCACTGAATAGTATTTCAAGTTTAAAAACTTTTTTTTAATGTAAAATGAAACAAAAATAAGTCTTTTGTAAATGTATTTGGATCCAAATAAAATATATCTGTGCAAATAAAATCTATTTTTGTGGGACTTTATTTTGTGAGAAGATCATATCTGAAGCATACCTGCTAGGTCAATGAATACTGAAAATAATTTTAGTTTCTGTCTTTGTGTTAGTAACAGTGCAGAAATTTGATTGCGCTGAATGGTTTGATTCTCCCTTCACAGCTAATGTTTTTATCTTGAACTATAAAAAGAACAGAGATCATCCTTCGGTTGAGATGCTCTTTTTCTAGTCATGTGGCTGAGTCACATCACTTGTGTCAGTATGATCAGAACAATGGTCACCTGATTCATGAGTATGTGCCAGTTTGAGTCAAAACGCTAATCTGAATCAAAGTGAATGTCATCGCTCATCTTTTGAAAAATAAAGTAAAGTCAGCAAACTAAATAAGAATTTTCTTTACTTCACACATTATGAGTATTATCAACAAAGGATCAAATTGCATATGTTTTCAGTGTTTCCAAGTACCCAGTTTTAGATTCCAAATCCACAAGTCCAAAAGACCCGCGACTTAAAAGAAAAAAAACACACTGCCTTTCATACTACACTAAAGTAGTTAAGTAATAGATAAAAACTGAAAGGACAGAAAAGTTCCTGTTTTTCACTGTACTAGAGATACACTCGGGGGTCGAGGGCCATTTCCTGGTGTCCAAAACTCAATTTATTTTCAAAAGTGGTTGAAAATTCATTAAATTCTACTGATTTTATTTGAACACAGATGTCCTGACACCATACACCTGTGTAATAATATATGTTAATATGATTAACTCTACTTAACAGTCAAATTTGTTCTGCCTGAAGGCAATAAAAAACTACATCCCTGCTTTCATTCTGAAACTGTTCTGAGAATACTTAATGTTGGTAATGTTTTCTGTGGCAAGTTTTCAATTTTCCCTAAGTGTCATTTCTGATAATGTAAAGTTTGTCAAAAATGACTCCATACAAGGTGTAGGGTCACTGGAGGTTATCTGAGCTGACCACACTCCAGACACTTTGCCAGTCCATCACAGAGCTAACACAGAGTCAGACAAGCGTTCACCTTTGGCCAATTTAGAATAACCGGCTAATCTAATTAGCATGTCTTTGGACACTGCGTGAGTAGGCTTTCTGCCTTTCATGGAGTGGACAGTCAAACAAACTGAATCAGCATAAATCAGTTTTGATGGATCAGAATGGATCAGTGTTGTCTTGTCCCCAGTCAATTCATACTGCAGTTTTTGTGCACCCCGCTAACTCTGATAGGCTGGTTTTCATTATCTTTCGTTACGAAACGCGGACGAGCTCAGACTGGCTCCTCCCACCTAGTCTAGCAGCGGAGCTCCGAGACGTATCCTGATTGGTCCATTTCCAAGAATCCGCCATATTCAAACTTCCGCCGTGCTGTGTCTTCTGTTGTCATCGATCTTCTGTTTTCTTTGTACGTATAGGGCCAGTTTTCATACGTTTGGTTTTTCTATATTCCTCGCTTAGTCATAAACACTTTCGGGTATAACTCATTTCACAACGTATAGCCACGGGAAATGGAAGAAAACGAAGAATTTAGCGGAAGCGCGACGGAAAACAAAAGACACAAACTTCGCAGGGTGTCATCGAGGACGTCTACGACCAGTATGATCAGCGCTGCGGAGCCCTCGCCTCAAACCCTACGAAGAAACAGCTCCAAGAAGCACGTAGCTGCGAAAAGGTGATAGCATAATTATTTATTCGACAGCCCTTTTGCAATATAGTACAGTATACTGTAGCAAACATTTTATCCATTACCCGGTCGGCCAACTGTGACGGGCAGGGCTGGTATTGTAACTGGCAAAAGGTCCTTTCAAGTGCACCTCGGAAGCCAACCAATCGACTGAAAATACACATATGTCTGCTTATCTTGTTTTAATAAAGAGATAATTAATTTAATTTTTACATGCATGTGTGTGTGTGATTTAGGATTTGTACAGTTTCCTGTGCAGTAGACATCATATTTTTATATTAGGGCTGTAATAATGTTATCCTCTGTAAAATACATCTTTATTTCTTATGGGGAGGGAACAAAACTTTGTTTACAGGGTGTTCGTTTCTTTTATTGCAAATGAATTACTGTCAAAATACAACAGGAGGAGAGACATTGTAATCAGACCTGTGCAAAAGTTTGCAAAAAGAACATTATTTGTTATATCATTTAGAGTTGAATAATGTTTTCAAGTTGAAATTGCAATATGTGCATTTGGTAGACTGCAAAAGCTGCAGTTAGTCTCACCAATCAGAAGTGACCCAAAACAACTGCATATACACCCTCCAACAACATACATGTGGGTTAAGGTTAGCCCACATGAGTTCATGAGGTTACATCTTTTGGTCATAACATTACATTCTAAATATTAAACTGGGTTTAACTTAAAAAACATTCCCCAAATCATTTAAGGCTAATATTATATGTGCATTATAAATACTCTATAGATGTTTATGTTATAAAACACTGTTGTTATTTGATCACCCTGCTTTATAATGCTTCGTTTTGATTAGTGTACTGTGGCTTTAATTTGATGGCCATGCACTGCACCTGTATTTGTACTTGCAGACTTTCAAAAAATGCAAACAGTATAATATCAGGTATGGATTTCAAAAAATGTGATCGGCTCCAACTGTTTTTTCCCAGAAAGTGGTGACTGTTAACAATGGTTAACGTGACATCAGTAAATCAGATCTCATGACTCTCAACAAAACTTTTACAGTACTGGTTGTACTCATGCCTCAGAGTCATGAGCACTGTTAGTGGGGTTTTGCAGTAGTGGTTGCAGCTGCCCCTTGGCCTCGACCCTGACAGAAACTGTGTAGTTTCATTGTTTTGTCGCCATAATTGACAAGTAGCACAACAGAACTGCACAGCTCCTTAAATGGCTTCGTTGTGCTTCAGTCATCCCAGAGCACATATTTGAAACATAACTGCAACGTAAAGGGTCACAAAAATGCTTCCATGTAATACTGTAAGCCTCGCATATTGTTGCTGATGTTGATAAGATACCAGAAAATGAAAAGCTGCCATTGTGTAACGACCATGCTATAAATGTGTTTTCATTGTGCAAGGCCAAACATGATTTGTTTAATTTCCCACAGACCACCACTGCAGAGAGGCAGCTCCTTCACCTTCCTCACTCCTGGGACTCCGTGGGATTTCAGCCTAGTGAGTTCATGTTTAATATGCAACAGCATCATGTTTTATTACAGCGATCAGGCCCTCACACAATTATCTCTGTGTAAACTGAACAACTCTCTTGATCCATGTCTTATATGGCTTGTATATTATGGTTTTCCAAAAACTTTCCCAGAGAGGTTTTTGGTGATTTTATCCAGCATTAAAAATCACGAGCATCACAGTAATAACATTTAAGAAGAAGACAAAGCCCGCCTGGCTTTGTCCGCACCTGCACATTTTACACAGACACCAGATCAGCCAACCACCCTGCAGTGTTTTGATTCTGAAAGGGTTGAACTTTTGTACTGTCCGCGGTCTGAATGCTTGGAAGTAAATTCTCTAGGAGATAAAAGGGAGTGTTACATCCAGACGGAGAAGGGAAACGTTCTGTTCCAATATACACGGGGGGGGGGGACTGCGTTTTTAACATTCAAGAATGTGAAATCAGTTCTAGTAGTTCTTCATAAGGTTTGAGCCTGTAAAAGGCTAGTTCAATTTTTAGTAAAGTTGTGCTGTGGCTTATTTTTACACCTGTAACAAATAATGGGGAAATGCATACTTTTCAGCCAAATAATAACAGAACATGGACTCATTGTGTGTTGACAGAGAACACTGCCATGGGTAGTTTCCCCTAAGAGTCCCAATCTGAGACAGGAAACCCCCATATACGTATTGCATCTGGTCATGGGTAGCAGGATAACATTTTGGACTGTTGTTGTTGTTATGTTCATATAAGAGATGCTGCTCTTGTGTTTTGTTGCTGCAGAAAAGAAAGCGCAAAGAGAAGGAGGATGATACCGTCAGCCTGTCCAGCTTCGACCTCAAGGTGAGAGTCGGAAAGTCTCCTTTCTGCACCTGAATGCATCTCTACCATAAACTTTAATCCTTCTGCATGACTCAGGTTGTCATCACAGACAGCCCGAGTCATGCAGGCTGAGGATAATCCTGCTATGCCTCAGACCGGCTGAGGAAATAACTGTAAAAGAGTATACAAGCAGTGCGTCTCTTGGTGCTGTGATTGTCATAAATTCAGGGTTCAGTTCAGCACATCAGAGTAGCATTTACACTATGTTTCTGTGCTGTAGAAGCAGGAGCAAAGTTCCTATACTCGGATATTTGAAAGGAAGAGTTGAGAAAGCTGAAATTCTCCCTCAAATGTGTAGGAGAACTGTATGAAGTACAAGAAGAAATCTAACCAAGCAGACACTTTGTTCATGGATATAACTTCGCAATGTGTGTTTCACTGGAGATCACATAGTCAGACTGTAGATCTAAATGCAACATAAATACATCTGCACAGTAAACAGTCCTGAGACTAAACTGAAACTGTTAAGAGAGCAGATCAGTTTCATTTCATCCAGGTGTTTTACTGCTGTTGCTAAATAGACTAAGCATTTAAGAAGATAGATGAAAGGAATCTGAGTAAATTGTGTGTGAGGCTATTTAAAAATGCCAATAGCTTCAATTATAAATAAATCCTACAGTTTTAGTTTATTATAATTGTATTTTTCTTTTTTTAGGAACCCAGTAACAAGCGTGTCAGATCACTTGCCAAAGTTTCATCCCTCGTCAACTTGATATCTCCTTCAAAGAATGGAGCAGTGC